AGCTTAGACCAATGTGGAGTCTCCGCACGGTGGCATGATTTGAGTGCTCAAGGGATCGCCAAGTTGGGGTGCTTTATGGTCACGATGCGATGTTCTCATAGCCATTGTGACACCAATGGCGCTCCTACGGGAACTTTTGGCATTCTGTCTCGGAGGAGTCATGATGATGCTGGCTCTTCCAGGCCAGTTGACGGCGCCTGTCAATTTTTCGATTGGAGCTTGTCAAAAAGAGTGTGGTATCCCACGCTTTGCTGCCAAATCAATGCATACGATGAATAAGTTTTAGCATACTGGTTGTCATTGTCTTGAACTTGCCGTTTCATTGGCTGACATTGGAGTGCAGGCTGGACTTCGCCAGTTGAGCCTGTTGTCCCTGCCAGAACTCCTGTTCCTTTTGATGACGGCTGGAGGCTATGAGGAATGTGGACAAATGTTGGGATGCTGACAATTTGAGAAAACCCACAACTCGAAGAACTTAAGCACAAAGTGGCTGACAGATCATTGCAGCTTAACCGCTTAGCCATCAATTCAATGAAAGGGGTGTGCTTTTGTTCACACCGGCGAAATTCCAGAGCATGCAAATCGAAATGAGGCCACAAACTTTTGGTGGAAAACTAGCGACAAACTAAAAGCCTTTGTGCTTCAAAAAAGCCACAGATTAGTGTTTCACTCGTCCGGGTTGGGCGGGAAACCTGGAAGACCAACAGCGTTCTTCTGTGCTGGGATGAAGAACAGTGATAACGGTGTTTCTTTTGTTTTTCTTGTTGAGATATTTCGACTTGGCCTGAAGGTCTGAGGAGCCTGTGACTGAGCAAGCTGCGAGTTTCACTATGGGCACAGACTCTGAATCATTCTTGGAGCACTTCATTGACCAGTTGGAAAACCTTACAGTGAAGGAGACTTGGGGCTCTCACATTTTTGGACAAGTAAGATACTATCGCGAGAAGAAGGATGCATTTGGGAACAAAGCAGACTTTGCAACTGCATCCCACGTTATGCGATGGTACGACAAAGAAGGAAGGTGTGGAAATGTGATCAACGCAAGTAATGCGATTGTGCTACTTGCTGGAGCAAATCAGGGGAAGTCGACAACAAATATTTTGCAGGCTTGCCACAAAGCACGCATGCATATCTTCGAGATACAGCAGCGATTGTTTGACGCGCAGTTTAAGCGATTCAGAGACTCCTCTCTGGTCAAAGTTCACAGAAAAGGGTGGTCCGATAAGATCCAACAACTTCAAATTACATTGCCCTTGAACAATCATGAAACAGCTGGACTTTTTCTACCCACTGGCAAGTGGAAAAATGCAGTTCTGCTGAATGAGACTGTTGAGACAATCCCACTTGCAGACTTCGTGCTTCACGCAGCCTGTCGATGAGTTCAGTTAAGATTTTGTTGGACCCGAAGGATGACGCACGAAGCAGACTTAGCACCGTATGTTTTTAGCTTTCCAGAAGGCTTCTTGCGGAATGAGGTTTGCTTCCCTAGCTGCCCATCAATAGAGCCAGTGTGTGTAAGAATTCCGTGCATTTCTTCTACCAGCCGGCTATTGCAGCGTGTGAAGACTCGGAAACCATACATCTCAATGCGTATTGTGGTAACATCACCTAAAGTTAAACAGTGCAAAAAGAGGCTCATGTTTTTGTTTTTCTTTCCACATCGAGCTACCAGGAAAACTTGGAGCGGATCAGCTATGTGCTGATTGATGTTGAGGGGAAAGAACCCAACGTCATTCGAGGAATGAACTTGGAATCGAAGAGACACATCTTCCCAATCTTTCAGTACGAACTTGGTGGCACGTGGACGGATAGCAGACATGACGAGAATCAGTGGGGTCAATATGGAATTGCAATGTATTTGAAGGCTTTGGGGTACAAGCTTTTCCTCATCGGCGCAACTCTGAGTGGGCAGGAGAAGCCGATCCTCCTGCAGGTTGACCCAGAATTCTTTCGATTCTTCTCATTCCGACCTGAAGTGGATGTAGGAGGAAACCTACTAGCATTTCATCCTGAATTTGCTGATGCTGGACTTTGGGAATACCTGCAAGGCTTTGTTCGCTCCTCAGGTTCTAAAGTCTTGGCCGTTGATTGAGCTTACACAGATTTGGCAAGAAAAACAGTGGAGTTGATTTTCCGCAGACGAAGCCCTACCCTAGCTTGCCCTTTCTATTTTTGTGTAACCATGAGAGTGACACACCAAACAAGACGATGGTGGGTGGGCACTTGTGCTGAACCATTTTGGCTCAAGTGCCCATTCACAGGTGCCCCTGATTGTTGCCATGTTTGTTGGAAGAGCTTCTGGCTGGCTGGCACCTTTCTTCTGGGGCACTTGGTGGGCGTGTGCATTACGCGCTGGTGCTGCCCACCTGTGAGTCGTCCATTGTTGGTGACACCACATTTCCTGGCCCTTCTGACTCCTGGCTTGAGCAATTGCAAGAGAGTGACGCTGAACAGCATTGAGCGGGTATGCACCTGGACGGGCCTTCGTCGTGAGTTTTGACAGACGGTCTACCCCTCGTGCTTTGGCAACTTTTCATCAGTGTACTTTGCAGCGGCGCGAGCAACAGCTGTGACTTGACCTCCTCTCCAACAAAGAATGCAGTTGACGAGTTGGTTGGGGCCCAGGTTGAACTTTTGGGGAGTGGTGACATCGACCAAGCGCACGGAAATTTCCGGGATGCAGCCTCCCCAATACGGGCCACGGGTCCATCGAGCAAGGCAGAAGAGGCCAGACTGCAGACTTGGTTGGAACTTTTGACGAAGAGGGCGCGCTGGGCCTGCCAAGAACTGGCGTTTTGATTTCGATCGTAGAGGTTCAAAGTTGAGCTGGCACGCTTGGGGCTAGACACTGCTGGTGCCTGTTTGGACCACATGAGGGCTGTAGTTACCCTTGGGCGCCGGTCAGCAAAGCAGCGGCGGCAGGGAGGTTGCAGCACCTGCAAAGGAGCTCGCGATCTTGTTGGGCATTTTATCCTGAAGCTCAATTGGTCGATATTCAGTGCCAAGCCTTAAGTGAATGAACGAACCCGGTTGGAAGGCAAAATGCAGCTTCTTAGTCGCAGAGGCGACCCAACTTCGTTGCAAAGAAGGACTTCGTAGTAGAAACCCAAAAGCGTCTAGAATGCGCTCAAACCTCAGGCCTTGCTGTGGGCTGTGACATCGCCAGGGCCACAGGTCACTTTATGAGGGGAAGCGGGGCCAAAGAGATGCGAGAAAGGGCCGTACCTTCATCTCTATACAATGATTCGTGAGACTTTCTTCGCAATCCAAGAGTGAGGAGGCCTTGAGTAAGTCGTTCGAATTTTCGATGAGACTCAAGGGTGAAGTGACCTTGGTTGAGAGTGTGGCCACGCTATTGTGGAAAATTGACAGGTTTGAAGCTTGTAGTCGTTGAAGCAACCCACGCAGAACAGCTGGCTGCAGAGTTGAAGAAAAATGGAAGTTGGTTTGATTCAGAAGAAAGAAACGAGCGATGCGACTTGAAGCTCGCAGGGCCCTCAGGCAAAGACGCGTTTTCAATGTGATTTCCCAGACGCTGCACGCGCCAAGAGGAACTATGTCCATATCCGCGGGTCCGAGGAAATGGGCAGCGAAGTGTAAATGCCATGGGCATTATTGTGGGAAGATGACGGTGTGCCATCATGTTTTAGCAGTGCAAGAAATGTTTTGAGATAAAATTACATGAGTGGTTGATGGGGGCACGTGATTTGACATTCCACATTTTAAATCAAATGTTGTCTTTGGTTGGGTTCATGGAGCTTAGAGATCACTTGCGCTTTCAAACTCAGTTTCAACTCGTGCCACCATCCTTGCAGAAAAGCGGCATGAAGGGACGGTAGGGCGGGGGAGTGATTCGTGTGTTTCAGCCGAATTCGCTACCTTGTTTACGACTATATAACGTTTTCCACCACCCATACCTGACGACGCAAGGCTTTTCTGTAAGACCAGCTTGCATGTCCAACATCTTCAGATAATACATGTTCTCCACTAAATAGTGTTTCAATTCTATCATAAACTCTTTCAAGCGGTCAAGCAGCAGTCAACCAAAAACAGTGACAACATTTTTCAAATACTTAGAGCAGACAAACTTACCCATGACCCGATCTTCTCCCTGCGTCCGTGAAGTTGCATCATGTCATTCCCAGGTGGTGGTGGCGAGGCCGCTGGAGCACTGCAAGACATGAGGATTTGGTGATGTTGGGCTGATTCTGCCAAATCTGCTGTTCAGCGCTGGGAAAATTGATTCTTTGCCCAACTGCCAACAATACTGACGCTCGCTACATTGGAGAAATTGCCAGCGTTGCCGGGAACAAGATTCTGCACGAAGCTGCGCGAAGGACTATGGATGCCTACATGTTCAATTGACCGCGGACTGAACAATGAACTCTCATGTTTTAATCCCAAATCTCAACTTCCTGGCCTGGCTGCAACCGCCTACTTGCCTGCGGTCTTGGTTAGCTGTGCAGATATATGATCGAAACTTGGAGAACTGTGTACAAAAACAGCAGTCTATATGCAGGTGTGACAGGTTTGATGAATTTTTGACTGAAATTTATGCAGTGAAAACGGCAATTGAAAACTGAGCCTTGGCTCAAAGAAAACTATGCCGTGACTGAGTCAACGTTCTCTCAGAGGAAACATTAAACCTGTTGTGTGAAGCAAAAACAACGCCAACATGTGACTTCCTTGCACCAACTTGCTCACGTTTCAATTTGTTTTCTTGGTGTTAGGCCTCTGAACACGCGGTGCATAAGCGAACGAAATTAGCAGGAAACTGAAACCAAACGCTTCAGCCAAACAACTTCAATTGCCATGATTGGTGCCCTTGCAGCCGTTGGATCTCCACCCTGCCCCGCTCTGGGTGTGCACAACCAGACAGGATTTTTCTTCAGCACTCTCTTTAATCAAAGGCGCAATGTCACATGATAGCGTTTATGCTGACTTGCACGCTGGACTGTTTCTCCTTTAACTTATGTCAATTTTCGCAGCTAGGCCGGTGCATGGGAATGTGGTCAGGCATCAGAAGGCCAAGCGCTAGTGTGGAGCATCAAGTTGACATTGTCAAGGGATGCAGAGCGAAGCAGTGGCAAGAAGACTTGCTAAGTTGCCACGCGCTTTTTGCACTTTCAGCCTGCCAACATGGCGCACGATGCTGACAAGTTTGGTCCAGATCTCTGTGATTTGGTGCAGTACAGGTCTCCTCAGTTTCGAGCAGCAGCTTCAGGTGCAGTTGTTGAGCACAGATTCTGCCAGTCAGTCCCTCTCACTAGTCCCTCTCACTGTGCAGGTGCGAAGCCTGGTGTGCGGCCAGCAACCGAGTGCAAACGAAAAGAGATGAACGTGGAAATAGGGAAACACTCTGGAAACTGATGTTCTTTTTGCAAAGTCTTCAGACAACCCTCTGATGCTTGTTTCGTTGCCACAAAGAGCTTTATTCTTTCTTGCACCTCAGTTTTGTTTCGAGCCAAAGGCTGGCGACCTCTGAACAAATCGTTGGGTTTACCATCAAGGAGTGCCCAATCAAGTTGACAATCTTGCACAACATCTACTTCAGAGCTCATATTATGTCAAGTTATGCCTGTCTTTACGCGGCTTTTGTAAACCGTTTCTAAAGTAAACAACTCGTGGACTACAGTATGTCGCCGCTCTCTTTCTGCTCGCTTTCGTGTGTTGAGAAAAGAACACCGACTATGTCGTGACGGCATTTGAGGTACAAAGGTCTTGTCATGGGCTCCACGGTGGGGTGTCCAGGGAACAAGTGGTGTTTTCGGCACCTGATGCGTGGTGAAATGTGAAATCAGGACATGCATGGAAGTGCAACAATAAAACCAAGCAAGAGGAAGACAAGCATGGCGGTTGCTACCTCGTTGTGCCCTTGTTTTTCTTTCTTGACCAAGTTCTGAGCTTCAGAGTTTGAGGTGCGCGCAAAAGATGTCACGAAAGACATAACCAGCGCTATCACAGCGGCAGAGTTCTGAGTGATTATGATTTTGCCAACAAAATCTGGACGGGTAGCTTCAATGATATTGTTGATCCATCACCGCTCGTCACTCCTTGGTGATATTGCGCCATCATCGTGAAACCGTCGTAGTGTCAGGTCTTTGGTGGGGAGCTTCCTCACTATACACAGTTGATGCAGGAGAAATATGTACATTTGGCCAAAAACAACACGAAATAAGCTGAGAAGGATACCGCAATGCGCCGCAATGGGGCTTTCCTTTCAGGATGCACGTGAAGAGGCAATGTCACGCTTGGAGGAGAGAAGACCAGATACTGCAAATAGCTCTTTGGAAAGTGGTGACAACATTGAATCGGTGTCACACGGAGGACGAAGCAGTGAAGCTCGGCGCGAATGCGGTGAAGGCCTCAGGAAAAACAACAGTGTGAGTGTATGCTTCAAATTCTACAACACCTTCACACATTGAGAAGGACACTATATAACTGTAGTAATTGCTAAGTCCTAGAGTCCTTGATTGATAACTAGACTTGCAGTTATAGCTCCACTTTTGCATGCCTCGTGGTGATGTTTCCAGGGCAGCAGCTTCAGAAGAAACACTGAGTCTACTTTGTCATTTCATAAGGATGATGAGGATGGATAGGATGAAGAAGATGAACTAGTAACTAGTACTAGTGATTCCACCAGATGACTTTTTCTTTAATGTTAATGTTTGTATCCTTCTGCGCGGGCGCCCTTCATCAATCATAGTGAGGTGCATTGGGCAAGCTTAAATATTTTAGACTGATGCAAGAAGCGCTTGAACTTCCCCCTTTGCTGCAAGGTTGTGAGCTTGAGACTCTCCTCAACCAACATTGCGGCTTGCGGCTCACATCGAAACACAGACTGCATTTCTCGGAAGCACTTATCGAAACACGTTTGTAGCCCATTTCTGAGACTCTGTTGCACTTCACGCGATCTTCGCACTGTCACTTTGCACACAGTGTACCATGTTTTTGCCTGACCCGAGGCTAGCATAGTGATTCTAGCCGGTACCCCATGCTACCCTCGTTTTAACACGCGGAGTGACTGGCATGACCCCTCATCACTGACGGTCATTCTTCTTGCCGTCAGTTCACATTTGTCATGCCTCTGTGACAGGTCTCATGTCACATTTGTCATCAGTCATAATATACCATTGGTGGCTTAGATCAGGCCTTCATTTCCTCAACGTCTTTACCTGCAGTTCACATCCGCTTTTGCTTAGACTTCAAACCAAACATGTAGTTGTGCTGTGGATGGTCAACAGGTTGAGAGATTGGGGAAAAGCTCCGATTTTGACTGTCATGCCAACAGAAGAAGTGAGAACAACAGTTTTGTACTCCGTACCCCGACAAAAAGAGACTGCAAATTGTAAGAGACAGAGAGAGAGAGAGAGAGAGAGAATTTGGAAGTAGTGCAGTTCAAAATTTAAAGGTTTGCTCTTGGTAATGTTGGATCCTGATTAGTAAATAGGGGCTCCCTCCTCAAACAAACAGGAGACCCTCTATAATAAACGATCACCAAAACAAATCTGGATTCCTGTGATAATTCCTTTTTGTAATTGATTACAGATGTGAGTTGGACGCAGCTCTCAGCTCAAGCTTCCTCAGTGTTTCCTCAGCAGGGACTTTGCGAGGCATCCCTCAGCCATGCCTACAGCTCAGGAGATCTTTGGACCACTCTGTCCTGACGACCAGGTCATCACCTATGACAGGCTCAGGCATGAGCCTGCAGCCTTTTGCCCCTCAGGCCACAAGGTGATCCTCAGCAGAATCCCTTGGCAAGCAGGGTGCAGACACTGCTATGGGGTCAATGGGCGGCCTGCGGGCGTCATTGCTCAGTTCTATGATGAGGTGCTCAGCTGCCAGGTGCCATGCGGAGCTCAGCTAACTAGCCAGAATCCTGAGTTCACAGCAGCTCAGTACAAGGGCAAGACGGGATGGTTGCAGCAGCAGAAGAATCAGCAAAGGGGGAAGGGGCCTGATGCTCAGCCTGCTGCTCAGCCTGCAGCTCCACTGCGCCTCCAGATGCTCCTCCAGGAGTTGGTCCTCCTCCTCCGCCCTTGTCTCAGCACGCAGAGTTTCGGGACTCACCTCTCAGTGAGGAAATGCTCAGCTGGGTGAAGAAAAACATGGGGATGTGAAGTCGGCCAATGAGGAAGAGCTCAGAGTGATGGCTCAGGGCGTGAAGGGTTGGCAGGAAAAGTTGGCTGTCAAGTGGATGGACAACCAGCGCCAGCAGGAGAAGCTCAGCTCAGCTTTGACGTCAGCAAAGGCAGATGCTGAGAACATGGAGCAGGTGGAGCAGGCCTTGCTGGAAGTGCACCGTGGCACTGAGGAAAGGCTGACTCAGCTGGAGAAGGAGAAGGATGCTGAGCTGAGCCACAGAATCCAGGAGTTGGTTGAGAAGCTGGGCTCAGAAGGGTTGCGCAGCATAGCTGAGTCAGCAAGCCCTGAGGAGATTCGCTCAGCCTTTGCCATCCTGCTGGAGAAGCGCGCTCAGCAAAAGCAAGCGCCTCAGCCACAAGAAGAGCCTCAGCCTGCACAGGCTGAAGCTGCTGCGGCTCAGGCAGAAGGGCATGCTGCAGCTCATGTGGCTCAGGGAGAAGGGCCTGCCTCAGCCCCTGTGACTCAGACAGAAGGGCCTCCTCAGTACAAGGCCCCACCGCCTCAGTTAAAGAGGAAGAGTGGGCCCCAGGAAGACACAGTGGATCAGATGGACTGAGAGAAGAGCTTCTCAGTCAGTTTTGAAACTGAGCTTGAGCGCTTTTGGAAAAACAGAGCTCAGCTGCTTTGGGTGGGTGTGTGTGTATGTGTGTTGTGGTGGGGGTGTTAAAACCATCGGCCTAGTAGTATTAATGTTGGATCCTGAGCATTAAGAATTACTAGTTTTTACTTTTCTTAAGGAAAAATCTTTTCACAACTGAGAACCCAAGAACAAATCTATTATTGAGGATCAGGTGCCTTCCCGGTCTACTACCTTGAAAATTTGTTTCGGAGCAATGTTTTCAAGGGCTTAATTGGGAATTGGTGGTTTTGGTCAGCTGTCAGTTTTGAAGAAGCCTAGAGA